GCTGAAGTGCAGTGGTGCAATCTCAGCTTACTGCAACCTCTGCCTCCCAGGTTTAAGTGATCCTCCCACCTCAGCCTCCCGAGTAGCTGGGACTACAGGCGTGTGTCACAAATACTTGGCTAATATTTTGTAGAGACAGGGTTTTTCCATGTTGCCCAGGCTGGTCTCGAAATCCCCAGTCCAAGTGATCCTCCCACCTCAGCCTCCCAAAGTGCTGGGATGACAGGTATCAGCCACTGCACCTGGCCCACCTGGGAACTTTTAATATCAAATCCCAGGTCCCATCTCAGATGGACTGAAACAGAATCTGCATTTTAACAAGAACCAGGAGTGATTTGTACGCCGTTAGTTGGCTCATTGCAGCTCACAGGCAGGTTTCACAGACTCAACACTATTGACCTATTTGGGGCCCAATCACTTTCTATCATGAGGGCCTCTCCTGTGCATTGCAGGATGTTGGCTATCATCCCTGGCCTTTGGACCCACTCAATGCCAATAGCAACTCCCCTCCCCGCCAATTGGGACAGCCAAAAGTATTTCCTGGCCGGGTGCGGTGGCTCACGCCTGTAATCCCAGCACTTTGGGAGACCGAGGCGGGCAGATCACTTGAGGTCAGGAGTTCAAGACCAGCCTGGCCAACATAGTGAAACTCATATCTACTAAAAATACAAAAATGTGCCGGGCGTGGTGGCACAGGCCTGTAATTCCAGGTACTCAGAGGCTGACTCAGGAGAATCGCGTGAACTCGGGAGGCGGAGGTTGCAGTGAGCTGAGATCGTGCCATTGCACTCCAGCCCGGGCAACAAGAACAAAACTCCGTCTCAAAAAAAAAAAAAAAAAAGCTGGGCATGGTGGTGCATGCCTGTAGTCCCAGCTACATGGGAGGCTGAAGTGGGAGGATCGCTTGAGCTTGGGAGGCAGAGATTGCAGTGAGCTGAGATTGCACCGCTGCACTCCAGCCTGGGCGACAGAGGGAGACTCTGTCTCAAAAAAAAAGACAAAGGAAAAATATGAAGTTGGAAAAGGAGACAGAGTGATTACAGAGTTTGTCAACCTCAGCACTACTGACATTTGGGGCTGTCGTGTGGGGCCGCCCTGTGCCTGGGAGGAGGTTGAACAGCATCCATGGCCTTCACCCACTTGGTGGCAGGAGCACCCCTAGCTATGATGACCAAGTTGCTGAGTGTGCTCTAGTGGCAGGGTAGGAATGCAGTCACCCCCAGGTGAGGACCACAGCTCTCCCTTAAGTGTCCAGGGATAGTCTCTCCGAATTGGTGACGCTGGAATCCAGATGTGGAGGAAGTAGGGAAAGGGCCCTGTGGATATGTAAGGAAGAGTATTCCAGGTCGTAGGTGCAAAGGTCCTGGGGCAGGAATGTGCCCCAGGCAGCAGACAGGCCAGTGTGCTTGAAGTGGAGGTAGAAGAGGTCTGTCGGAACCCGCTGCAGGTCACACAAACGTGCATGCCTGCCCCCATCTGAGGCATTGCTCAGAGGACCCTGTCACTTGTCACTTGATGGCTGGGCTTGCTGTCTGCAAATCCAGTTCCACCTAGACTCTTCTCAGGGAAGGCAGGCTTCAGTGGCCCCTCTTTGAGCCCGGAATTTGCCATTGCTGCTTGGGATCCCTTCTGCACTGGGGGAGCT